TAGGGAGTATGCCATCAAGTGGAGGGAGCAAGCGGCTAGAGTTAAGCCACCCATGGATAACCACGAGTTGATCACTGTTTTTCTGGAGGCTCAAGAGCCTGATTACTTTCAGAACATGATGTCCGCGATGGGTAGACCTTTTGCAGAAGCAATCAAAATAGTGGAGATGGTCGAAAATGGCCTCAAGACTGGCAGAATTGTAAGTCAAGCTGCTCTCAAAGCCACCACCCAAGCTATCCAAAATGGGTCGGGAGGTTTGGCAAACAGAAAGAAGAGAGATGAAGGGTCCATGATGGCTTCGGGATCTAGGGAGTTTCAAAGAGGGGCATCGCACCCTTATGTGCAAGTTCAGCAGGGGCAATCCAGCTACCCTCAACATTATTATCCCCCGCCGATTCCTCAATACTCTGTGGGCCCACCACAATATACAGTGTTCAATGCTCAATCATATGCTCGGCCTCCCAATCAGCAGGTATGGGCACCAGCTCCGAGGGCCCCCCGACCTCAGCAGCAAAATTTTCGGGCACCTTACAATGCTCGTCCCAGGCAGGATTATGGTCGAGAGCAGAGGCCAGTAGAAAAATTCACTCCATTGGCTGAATCATATTCTAGTCTATTCCAGAAGCTGAAGCAAATGGGCGTAATTGGACCCATCGCTCCCCACCATATGCATCCCGATTCGCATGGATTTCAAGCAAATGCTAGATGTGAATATCATTCCGGTGCCCCAGGGCATAGCACTGATGACTGTTGGACTCTGAAAAGAGCCATAGAGAGACTCATTTCCGAAAAACTGATTGTAGTGACGAATGGCGAGGACCCTCCTAACGTGACAAATAATCCGTTGCCAGCACACAATGATGTTCATTTTGTTGGAATGATTGGCCGAGACCAAGAATACAAGCCGGTCGGTCGAGCAGAAATGACAGTGAGTGCAATTCAAGAAGGAGCAGGTCTGGAAGTAAGTCCTAGCCGAGACGTGCCATTGATTGTTAAAGGCGCCCAGAACTCAAATAAGGCAACTTTATTTGTTCCAAAGATCTCAAGGTTGGAAGTTCACTCTAGTGTTCCAAGCCCAAGGTTATATGTACTTGGAGGCCATCCCGACAAAAGGGAGAAGCAGGGAGGTACGAAAGGTATAACAGAGCCGATCGTAATCAAACCTGCCATGCAACTCCCTGTAAACAACACAAAAACCACTCCTTGGAACTACAACAAAACGGTGATGACCTACAAAGGCAAGGAAATCATAGAGGAAGTGGGGGAAACTGGAGGTTTTACTCGATCAGGGAGATGTTACTCTCCAGAAGAGTTGAGGAAGGCCAAGCAAATTAGAGAAGGCCATTTGCCAATAAAGAAGCCAGTCGCTGAAGCAGATGCGGAAGAGTTTTTGAAAAAGATGAAAGTTCAGGATTACTCAATCATTGATCAACTAAGAAAGACTCCCGCTCAAATCTCTCTACTATCTCTTCTCCTACATTCCAAAGAGCATGCCCGTGTACTAATCAAGGTCCTGAACGAGGCACATATCTCAGAGGAAACCACAGTGAATCAGTTAGAGAAGATGGCCAACAGATTTTTTGAGGTGAACAGAATCTCCTTTACTGATGATGAACTTCCCGAGGAGGGAGCCGGGCACAATAGGGCTTTGAACTTGATGGTCAAATGTGAGGGTCATTATGTAAAGCGAGTCATGGTTGATGGAGGCTCAAGTGTAGATGTATGCCCTCTCTCTACCTTGCAAAGCATGAAGATCGATACAGACAGAATCCGACCCAGCAATGTTCGCATCTAGGCTTTTGATGGCTCAGCAAGAGATACCATTGGGGAGATCAACCTCACCATGACGATTGGGCCAGTTGACTTTGAGATTGTCTTCCAAATAGTGGACATGGCCAATTCTTATAAATTTCTTCTTGGAAGGCCATGGATCCATACGGTCCGAGCTGTGCCATTCACCTTGCATCAGATGCTCAAATTCGAACATGACGGGTAAGAAATTATTGTTCATGGAGAAGACGAGTCTTCCATTTATAAAGACCCGTTAATCCCCTGTATTGAGACCAAGGAAGGGTCTGAGTCCATTATGTATCAAGCTTTTGAAGTGGTTGTTGTGGATCATGTCGAGGAAGGAAAGCCCATTCTGCATCCTCGTCTTTCCGCCACATCTGTAATGGTGGCTGCGGTTATGATGAGACAAGGTTATGAGCCAGGAAAAGGTTTGGGGGCATCATTGCAAGGAATTTCGGAGCCTATTTCTCCGTTCGATAACCATGGTACTTTTGGCTTAGGCTTCAGGCCAACACAAGCAGACGAAAACAAAGCCAAACACCGCAAAAACCATGGATGGGTCTTGCAACAGCCTATCCCTCATATTTTCTACACTTTTGTCAAGCCATGACTCCGAGAGGGGCAAAATTCCTCGGCGCATGCAAATATTGATGAAATTTGCCATGGCCTCAGCGCCATGTTTTCTGAAGTGAATATGATCCAGGCTGGTGAAGGCACTAGTCGTACTGATATGCAACTAATTGACCCAGACACCATGCTCACCAACTGGGAAGCAACTCCTCTCCCCACAAGAAAGGAGTCTGGTTTTGTTAATGCCGGCTTTAATAACATGACATGCATGCGGAATTCACGCCCAGATCTTAAAAAGCTATCTAATATCGAAATAATGCATCAAGAGGTTGAATATGAGGAAGATGAGGTTGTTGAGGAAATAAAAAGAGAGTTGGAACAATTTGAAAACAAGCTTAAGCCAAACCTCAATGAAACTGAGCCGATTAATATCGGATGTCCTGAAGAAGTTAGGGAAACGAAGATAAGCATTCACACTGAACAAAAAACCAGAGATGCCTTGATTAAACTTTTATTTGAATACAGATATGTGTTTGCTTGGTCTTACGATGATATGCCGGGTTTAAGTGCTGATCTGGCGGTTCATAAGCTTCCTACGTATCCTGGTTTTCCACCAGTCGAACAAAAGCAACGAAAATTTAAAATAGACATGAGTGACAAATTCAAAGAGGAAATAATGAAGCAACTAAGCGCCAATGTGGTCAGATTTGTCCGATACACCACCTGGATGGAAAATGTTGTGCCTGTGCCAAAGAAGGATGGAAAAACCAGAGTTTGTGTCGACTATAGGGACCTGAACAAAGCAAGTCCAAAGGATAATTTTTCTTTGCCAAACATTCACATTCTTATAGATAATTGCGCAAAGCATGAGATCCAATCGTTCGTGGATTGCTATGCTAGGTACCACCAAATTCTAATGGATGAGGATAATGCAGAAAAGACTGCTTTCACCACGCCATGGGGTACTTATTGTTACAGGGTCATGACATTCGGTTTAAAGAATGCAGGGGCAACTTACATGAGGGCCATGACCACTATTTTTCACGACATGATGCACAACGAGATTGAAGTATATGTTGACAATGTCATCATAAAATCAAAGACACAAGCCGATCACGTGTGTGATTTGAAAAAGTTCTTCGAACGGCTTCGTAGGTATGACCTTAAGCTTAATCCACCCAAATGTGCATTTGGGGTTCCATCTGGGAAACTCCTCAGTTTTATAGTTAGCCGGAGAGGCGTCGAATTAGATCCATCTAAGATAAAGTCCATTCGAGATCTGCCACCCCCGAAGAACAAAAAGGAAGTCATGAGTTTGCTCGAGAGGTTGAACTACATCAGTAGGTTCATTGCTCAGCTCACAACCACGTGCGAGCCCATCTTTAAGTTGCTGAAAAAGGATGCCGCTATCAGGTGGACAGACGATTGCCAAAAAGCTTTTGACAGGATCAAAGATTATCTGTCAAAACCCCCTGTACTGGTCCCGCCTGAACCTGGTAGGCCTTTGTTTTTATATCTATCGGTGATGGATAATTCCTTTGGATGCGTTCTGGGGCAACATGATGCAACAGGCAAAAAGGAACAGGCAATCTATTATTTGAGCAAGAAGTTCACCAATTATGAGGTTAAGTACACCCTTTTAGAAAGGACATGTTGTGCCTTGACTTGGGTCGCTCAGAAGCTGAGACATTATCTTTTGGCCTACACTACTTACCTCATATCCAGAATGGATCCTTTGAAGTACATCTTCCAAAAGCCAATGCCCACTGGTAGGATCGCAAAATGGCAAATCCTGCTCACAGAGTTTGACATCGTCTATGTCACTCGCACCGCGATGAAAGCACAGGCTTTGGCAGATCATTTGGCAGAGAATCCAGTTGATAATGAGTACATGCCACTTAGCACATACTTCCCAGACGAAGAGGTCAACTCAATAGAGGAAGTGGTTCCAGACGATCACCCTGTATGGAAAATGTATTTTGATGGAGCTGTCAATATCAAAGGAGTTGGGATCGGGGCAATCCTCATCTCACCTATTAGACATCATTACCCTGCAACGGCCCGACTTCGATTCTTCTGTACCAATAATACGGCAGAATACGAAGCTTGTATCATGGGTTTGAAAATGGCCATCGATCTGGATGTGCATGAACTATTGGTTATGGGAGATTCTGACTTGCTTATCCGGCAAGCTCAAGGCGAATGGGAGACTCGAGACATCAAGCTTATTCTGTACAGACAATGCGTGCAAGACTTGAGCAAAAGATTCAAATCCATCGAGTTCAGGTACATTCCTAGGTTTCACAACGAGCTAGCCGATGCCTTGGCTACTTTAGCCTCGATGATCCCTTATCCAGGCAACGCTCATATTGATCCGCTAGAAATCCAAGTTCGAAATCAACACGGTTACTGCAATACAATTGAGACAGAACCAGATGGTGAACCATGGTATCATGACATAAAATGATTCCTGAAAATGACAGAATATCCAGAGCATGCCAAAGGAGATCAAAAAAGAACTTTAAGGCGGCTCGCCAGTGGTTTCTTCCTGAATGGGGAAATTCTGTACAAAAGGACCCCAGATTTAAACTTGTTGAGATGCATAGATGCTACAGAAGCAGAGCAGATCATGGGTGAAGTGCATTCGGGGGTGTGCGGACCTCACATGAATGGATATGTTTTGGCGAAGAAGATTCTGCGGGCGGTGTATTATTGGCTTACTATAGAGCGAGATTGCTTCAGTTTTGTTCGCAAGTGTCACCGATGCCAGATTCATGGTGATTTGATTCGCTCGCCTCCTTCAGAGTTGCATCCCATGTCCTCTCCTTGGCCTTTTGTTGCTTGGGGAATGGATGTTATTGGTCCAATCGAGCCAAAAGCTTCAAATGGGCATAGATTCATTTTGGTTGCAATTGATTACTTCACCAAGTAGGTGGAGGCCGTCACTTTCAAAGCAGTCACCAAGAAAGCAGTGGTAGACTTTGTTCATTCCAACATCATCTGTCGCTTTGGTATCCCAAAGACCATTATCACTGACAATGCAGCCAATCTAAACAGTCATTTGATGAAGGAGGTATGCGAACAATTTAAAATCATGCATCATCATTCTACCCCTTACCGGCCAAAAGCTAATGGAGCCGTTGAAGCGGCAAACAAGAACATCAAGAAGATTCTTAGGAAAATGATCCAAGGTTCCAGGCAATGGCATGAAAAGCTGCCTTTTGCTCTTTTGGGATACCGCACGACTGTTCGCACATCTGTTGGTGCAACTCCGTATCTGCTTGTATATGGAACTGAAGCTGTAATACTCGCTGAAGTCGAAATTCCCTCTCTCCGAATTATTGTGGAATCAGAGATTGAAGACACTGAGTGGGTCAAGACCCGATTAGAACAACTGATGTTGATCGATGACAAACGGCTAGCAATAGTGTGTTTCGGCCAGTTATATCAGCAAAGAATGGCACGCGCTTACAATAAGAAAGTGCGCCCAAGGCGATTTGAGGTAGGCTAGCTGGTTTTGAATCGCATCCTTCCGCACCAGGTAGAAGCTAAAGGAAAGTTCGCCCCGAACTGGAAAGGACCTTACATCATCAAGAAAGTGTTACCAAAAGGGGCCTTGCACTTGGTAGATGAAGAAGGACGGGTACCAGACATGACTTAATGCAGATGCAATCAAAAGATATTATGTCTGATATATACCCACTGTAGAATTTTCACGCATTTATTTTCTCGAATCGAAGTGACGAAGGCTATCATTTGCTAGCTATTCCAAATAGGTGTCACCCTTTTGTTAATCCTTTTTGGGCAGTATTTGTCTTCCTTGTTTCTCACTTTTTAGAACATGTGTACTTGTAAAAAAGCCAAAACAACAAATCTCTGAGTCATTGAACTACGTCCGACCTGATTCCGAAAGGATACGTAGGCAGCCTTACCCTGGGTTCGGTCCCATCAGAACAAAAAATCCATATTCCCAATACTCCAAAACTGGGGCAGAAGTTTGTTTTATTTCACGGTTTTTTCTGTAAAACGGATCCAAAAGTTGTAATTCAATTCAAGGTTCATTTCGCCTTTTTACCTTTCAAGAACTTCTGATCAATGTTTTTTTTTGAGAATGTTTGAAGTCCCCATGCCAAAGGCGTTGTTTAACCTCCAGTATCTTATTCAAAAAAAAAAGAAGAAGAAAAAGAAAAAGAAAAAAAAAAGAAAAAAAAAAGAGAAAAAGAAATGAGAGAGTCTTATTAGTGAAAACCCGTACGGGCACTATAAGGCGACAGTGAGCAGAGAAATGAGAGAGTCTTATTGGTGAAAACCCATATGGGCACCATAAGGCAACGGTTAGTAGAGAAATGAGAGAGGTTAGTTAGCGAAAACCTGCAAAAGGCGCTACTAGCCGAATGAGGGTCTTTGATTCTCCAGCATGAGCACAACCAAGGA